AAACCAGGGTCACAAACTCACTCCAATCTAATAAAATATGTTAGCTCTCTCACTGATATTGATTGCTTTCCAATAAGTACCATATATATAATATATAAATAACATATTTAAAAATGCATATATATATATATATATATATATATATATATATATATATATATATATATATATATATGTGTGTGTGTGTGTGTGTGTGTATATATATATATATATATATATATATATATATATATATATATATATATATATTCATTTATTTAAAGATATGTTTAGTGGTACAAAATTTTATGACTGTCATGAACAGACAAAACTTAGTTTTATTATTACCATTCATGATAATAAAAAGTAAAAATGAAAAACGGGCTAGCTAACCGGTTTAATACCTCGCTCAACAGAACTAAATCGAGGTAAATAGAGTAAATTATATAATATTAAAAAACAAAAAAAAAAGAACAAAAAAAAAACAATGTACAAAGTTTATTGGTGGGCGAAAAAATGGTGATTAGTTGGAGGCCTAATATAAAGTCCTTCTGTTTACAAAGATAAGGCTTTAATGATAGAATGTAGATGGCCTCCAACTCTTCCTGGCGGTAATCTGAGTGGGACTTGCTAAGGATGTTAAAAGCGTCACCACTAAAACTAACAGCACAATTATGGCTATTTATAAGCTGTTCTGTGATGGGAGACCCGTATGTATTGGTCAAAATGTCCGCGGGTGTGTACTTAAGTTTTCGCTGGAACGTGTTGTTTTATTCTAATATGCAGCCTTTGCCTCGTTCTCCCTATGTAGTGCGAACTGCAACTACAGTTAAAAGAATAAATTAATGAACTATTATGACGTGTCGGGAGAACATCCTTACGTATAGACGGAACTAATATAATAGCATCATCTACATGCCAAAAAAAAAAAAAAAAGGCTAAAAATAATGGAAGCCTTATTAATAAAAAAAACAACACTTAATAATATTAACTATGAACATGGACACAATATCTTTTCGTATTTTGAAAAATGAAAACATTTTATGAAACTTACATACAACAAACTATTTCTTTTTTAACAGTTAAAATACTTAATCCTTGAAAATGTCTATATGTATAGCCGACTAAAAAGAACATTCGGACAGTTTTTATATAATTTATGACCCGAAAAGAAAAAAAACAAATTTTTAGATCGCATGAGAAATTGTATAAAAACTAAATAAAAGCACCTCGTCTGTCATATTCAAGGAAATGTGCATGAAAGAAGGATTGCTGCCTAAATACACAAATATTTATATTTATATACATACACATTTTATATATAGATGTATATATTTGTATGTACATATAACCGTAACAAAAACATAACGATTAATCATCAAATTTTGTAATTTTTAAAAGATAAATTTGAGAATGGCCCGGCACATAAACAGTATTATATTACGCATTGAAAATTAGAAAGAAATTCTTTGGTCGGAATCAATGAAGTAATGTCATTCTTACCAAGATATACATTACACCTGTTTTCTTTTTCACAATGTAAAGTAAAATTTTCTTTTCTAATATTTTCTTATTGTTATTTTCCAATATTTCTAGGAATTTCACATCCACACATTTCTCGCATTTACACACACACTCACACACACATAAATACACATGCACACAAATATTAGAATTAATATTTAATATAAAATATATGTGAAAAATATCTCGTTTTGATCGATTACAGTTCACTTGCTGTCATTAAATTAAAAAATATACAGTATGAAATGTCATTTTAGAAAATAAGTTGTTTTTTTTTTTCGAATTATATATTAATTATATATTAACCAATAAGAACAATTCGAATTACAATTCGTTAGAATCCGTAATAAATGTCTTTAGGTCAAATGTCTCTCCGATCATTTTTGCTGATTCTGCTATTTTCCTTTTTCTAAAATGAACCACGATGCTAAAAAAGAAAATAATGAAAGGCGGAAAATTGCAAGCTGCATTTTATTAATCAGATAAATCTTTATAAATACCAAACGCTGTCATCTGTTACAGTTTTTTTTTTATGGAAATAAAGCACAGATCGACAACCACGCGTACTAAAGAAAACTCGCGAAAACACAAAACTACAAATTTAAAACAGACTGATTCGTTTTAAAAGCTAGGAAATAAAACTTTAGCAGATAGGAGATTCGATTTTGAAAAAAAAATAATACCAAATATTCACGTATATATATAGACACCACAAAATACACTCTTGTGGATTACTGTTTCTCTCTACTTCTCTTGTCATCAGTTTGCTTTGTGAATGTCATGAAGTTTTTCTTTATTATGTGTCCCCCAAAAAGTCAACTTTGAATATTTCCGATTCACTCTAAAAGTCTCCTTTTTGTTTCCATTTTACTCAAAACACTTCCACACCCTTTTGTAGATCGACAAAGATTTTTGCAAAGTCTCCTCTTTCTCTATGAGGTAGTTGTCCAGGATTCCCTACCATAAAGCAGTACTAAAATTACATGACAGTTTAGTTTACTTTGTTTCTAATAAATCTTTAGTACTTCTTCAACTAAATCTGGAATAGACTTGGAATCAAGAAAATGAACAGATAGTGTTTTTCTGCAATAGCATTCTATGTCAGAAGAGCATGACTCTTTGACATCACAGTCAAAATTAGACCGGTTTCTGGTTTTCTCAGTAGTTTTCGTTCACTGTTCATATTCAGCCGATGCAAAGACAGTAGGAATGACTGGGGCCTATAAACTTGACTCAAAACCTCCAATTATGGGTTAAATAGATTCATCAACCCGCATTTTCCAAAGAGAGATGAGTACGGCTTTTCAGACATATTGATTGACCCCCAAAAGAAGTGAAAAGGGCCTGGACTTTGGGTTTAGATTCAGCCGATATTGCAACTTCAGATTTCTATTTTATTCAGCTTGGAGTTTTATTTCTTAGAACACCGCGTATAGGATATCTATTTTCTGTTCAAAATCATTCTTGAACAAAGTATAAACATCCTGTACCAAATTTTTTCACGAAATCGGACTAAAGATAATCATTTCCAAAACAGAAACTATGAAGAATGAAAGAAGTAACATCCTGAATCCATCAAAAATACTAAACCCTTGAAATACTTTGCTGAGTTATAAAAGAAAATCGTATAAGAGATAATGAAATTCAACATAGGTCGCGTTAGAGTTTCACCCAAGACCGCAAAGTGGTACGAAACCGAAACATTAAGCTGAAAACACGAGTTATGTTCTTCAACAGCCTCGTCAGATCGATACTTTAATATGGATGTCTTGTATGGCGCCAAACCATTTCTGTAATATCTAAACTGTCAACGGTATACATTTATTTTCTAAGGTCAATGGTTAAAAAGAGATCTGAGTGAGTGAAGCCTTAGGTCGTGATGAAGGCTATTCTTACTCGAACCTAGTGAACTGGCGCTACTGAATCCCAAAGAACGGTACCAAATGAAAGAAACGATATCATTCGAAGACTTTCAACAGTAAAAACAACTGAAATGGATATTGTTGTGGATTCCGAGATGAAATCCGGTCTCAAATGAATGACAAACGCAGGAATGAAATATAGTAAAATAAATGTATTGACGTAATAATACAATTGGTAATACGATCGATTAATAGATCCAGAAATGCAGTTAGCAGCAATAATAATATATACATGCAGTCTGGGAAATTCAGTATCGAAGTATGACTTCCTTCTGAGTCTACGTGCTCGCAACTGTGACTCCTACAAAGCGGTTACCTCATAAACTCACTCTGTCACTTTCTCACTGTCTCTTCCGGGTATTCACCGGCAGCAGTACAAGTAGACACTGAGCGAGTCCACTTGTATGAAAAAGGGGTGGACCCCTTAACAGATATCATATGTAATTCGAGAAGATAATAATAACATAATCAAGATGATAACTTTCTATACGACTTCAAATAAATGTTTAGGCAGGAAGCACCTATCAGTACTGGAAAGAGCGATAACAGCGAAACCTATTTTCCTGAAACATTGTCTTTTAAGAGAAAGATTTTATAAATTTCAAGCTAAAGTATTACTGGCTGCTCGGTCAATGAATGCCAAAATATTTCCTTATACAGAAACGGCTATTATTACCACTCTCATTGATAGTGGTAGATTTAGATTGCATTCTTTGCAATTTTTCTCCAAATTTTAATTCATAGTTGAAGGACGATTCACCGGAAATATTTCAACCATTTGTATGTTAGATTAATACCGGAGTAACTTTTTCTTAGTCACCTTTAGATTAATTTCTTTTGAACCGCATTCACTTATTCCAGTGGACTTTTCAGTTTTCAGAATAATGTTCATGACCCTCCTTTGAGATCGCTATCAACTTCTTTATCGTATTCTTCATATTGTCAACAAAGACGTTCGAAAGGCGTGTTTAGTTTTAGGAAAAGCTATAAAAAATAAATAACTTAACATATGGAATTACAGGCAAATTTAGTGCGATTGATTCATCTTCTTACTTTGATGTTTTGATGAAATTTATTTCAGCTTAACTTTCGTCAGGCTATTTCCAAGTAGGTTTGAAGGTGATGTCTTTATAATATTTTTTCTTCTTAGCCAACTTATGTCATTCCCTTTAAGATAATTCATTGTCCTGAGTGACATTAGTTCCATAATGCACAAGTAACTGCTTCGTTCTAGTAAGAAATAATAGGCAAGTTGTGATTACCAGTCTCATATCAATCGGATGATTAATTTTTTTACCGCAATGGCAATTGTATTATTGTGGTGGTAATTTCCGAGGACTTATTTCTTAACTAAGTAGACTCAAAACTTAATGTCTTCTTTTCGATCGATTCTACTTACTACCCACTGTATCCGATGGTCTCAGAGCTGTGATCGAGACAGATACAAATTAATACAATACTCCCAACTGTACTGTAAAGGGCGGTAACTGTTACTTTTACTACCAACCGTATAATGATATTCCCTGAACTGTGATAAAAACAGAAATGAATACAATTTAAAATCTATCTCGGTCTATGACAACATTATCTATCTATCTATCTATCTATCTATCTATCTATCTATCTATCTATCTATCTATCTATCTATCTATCTATCTGTGTGTTTCTCTCTCCCACCTCTGTCTCTCTCTCTTTCTATTTATGTATACATCTACGTGCATTCATATAGATCATAGCTTGTTTGAATCTATCTATCTATCTATCTATCTATCTATCTATCTATAAGTCCTTTTCTTTTGCCCTCTCTCTCTTTCTATATATCTATATATCTAAGTGTATTCATATTTATCGCAGTCTGTTTACATCTATCTATCTATCTATCTATCTATCTATCTATCTATCTATCTATCTATCTATCTATCTATCTATCTATCTATCTATCTATCTCTTCCTAATTTATTATGTCCTTCCTCACAGAAGAAACATTGTAGCCTATTTCTACATGATCACTATTTCGGTGAAAATATTCAGGTCAGCTCAATTCTATCGTTCCAGCAGTTCATTTTCTTACAGCTATGACCCGCCATGCTTCTTCTACACAGTCAAAACTCCCTCGTTTCTTCCGAATTCCAGAAGGTAGAACAAATTTCTACTCAGATGTTATCCTCATAATATTCACTTCCTACGATCTCCTCTTTCGTTCATATCACACACCTCATTCAAGGTTACCAACTCAACAATATCCCTCAAGTTTGAGTGGCTCTCGAGACTTGTATGGGATGTATTAAAATTTATTACCGTTTTTTGTGCATCCACTTATTTCATTTCCTAATCTATTTCCGTTTCTTTTCTTTCTTTCTATCTATCTATCTATCTATATCTATCTATCTATCTATCTATCTATCTATCTGTAATTTATTAATCTATTTCCTTTTCTTATCTATCTATAATTTCATAATCTATTTCCGTTTCTTTTTTGTTGTCTGTCTGTCTGTCTGTCTGTCTGTCTCTCTCTCTCTCTCTCTCTATATATATATATATATATATATATATATATATACAGTGTCAAGCATTTGATATTGGATACGTGTTATTTTCTGTTATAACTCTAGCTTATGTTCGTCATTTTGCCTGATATTTGGTAAGTAATATCTCGTAAAGTTGTTTTAGTTGTATGTGGAAGGAAAATTAAAAACTGATCAAGTAATCATTGTATTAACAGCATTTTGCATCCTTAGTCATAATTATTAAACAATGTGAGCGGAATCAAACTTGCCTAGATCTTTCCTGAAATTACGAGTCTCATCCAACTTTTATAGAACCTTTCTTAGCGTAAACGAATGCAAACACGTTTTACCTTTACCAATAGAAAATATTTGTTTTTAATTACTAACTCGTATCTTGACAAGTCCTCGGGTTACTTAATATTTACGGAAGAATTACTTATCAATATTCTTAAATAGTTGCTTAATTCTTTATACTTGGATTCAATTAATAGAAACATATCAATATATCTAATGTATTAGAGTTAGTAGAATTTTGAATAGTTTGTAAAGTAACGTTGGTCGGTTGATTTTGTTTAGCGGCATATTAACCTGTATGAGTTATTTAATGTCGAAATGTAAATATTTTGAATGCAGTTGTATACCTTCAACTACAGCTAAAATGTATTGTTAGTCATTCTAATATAAAATGTATTGTTAGTCATTTAATTTAAAAATATATTCTTGGTGATTCTGCTCTAAACAGGTATTTTTGATACCTTTATATGAAAATGTATTGCTGGTAATTTTACAACGAAAATAGAACTACGACCTTGGGTCAGGGTGGACCTTGAAATAACAGTAATTATGAAAATCTTCAATCTCCCGATCAGTGGTCATGCTGGCGGATGTAGTTTATCGTCATACCCAGGACTAGTAAAGTAACGTATTTAGTAACTCTTTAATTTAATATTTTCTTTTTTTTTATTTTTCGGGTTTGTGGTTTTGCATCGACGTCACTGACGTCAATGGTAGATTTGCTTAAGATTTATTCAAATTGGATTACGATTGCTTGTAAACGAGTTAGTTATTTTTTTTTAAAGTCTTATGATCCTTGTGTTATCACTACTCTGAAAGACTAAGGAATAGATAACCATTTCTTGGAACTTCAATTTTAAAATGTGAAGCTAAGTTTTTCGACATTTTCAATGCATATTAACATGAAGGCTGAACATAATTGAGAAGGATGTTGTCAACGCTTTACAAGTGACGGACGATTAATTATATTATAAGAGTTTACCAAAAATTAACGACAGTATATAAGTAAGTTTATGTTATAATTCTTTTCGTGAGTTATCTAGAATTTTTTTTCCATACAATTTCCGTATCTTCAGTCTCTTTTTAACAGACGCAACGTTGCACGCCTATCGCTAATCTCACCTTTTCTATTGGAAATATTTAATAATGCTCCATTCGCAAGTTTACACCTTGAAAACAAGGATACCCCATGTTACGTCTACGGAATCGAATGGCACATATTTCCTTCGTGTTCCAATTGGCAGGAAGAAGTTTCTACTCAGCTTGTTCCCAAGAACTGTTACTGTGTGGAACATATTCCTATATATTAGTCCCTGAATATTACAACGTTAAACTTTTTAAGGTTCTATTCTTATCTATCCTTCTTATATCCCATATCGCCACTTCTTATCTCATACATCCATATCACACGTTATTGAGCCTCGTATTAGGTGAGTCTTAGTAAAAATATTACTCTGTTATAATATATAAAAATGAAGTCTGCTTTGAACGCATTAACATGGTTGCTTAAGCTTTTTATAAATAGATGTCATTGAAGGATTGATTGAATGTTTTTTTTTACGGTTTATCAAACTTTTACAAGTTATTTAAAGCAATGTTTGTTTTTAGATTGTATAGATTTGGAAGCAGATAATAATGATTTACTGACATAAGTCCTGATAATTAACCCATAGATAGGGGATAAGAAGTGGATCCATTCCTTTACCAAGCGTATTTGCGCGTAAGTGAACATAAGGAAACCGAGTGGAACTTGAACTCTGCTTTCCGATTTCCAATTCCGAGACGATATCCATCACTCCTCCTGCACATCCAAGCTTACAACACCTATTATTTCCCAAGCGGTCACACATCTAGATACAGACTAGGCTTGTCACTGCTTTATTTCAGTGTTCATACGAGAACAGATGTTTCAACGTGATATAGTCGTAAGCTATCGTAGAGGTAATAAATAGAAGTTAAAACTATTTCACTGTAACAATTAGAAGAGGAATAATGATTTAATACAGTATAAAATAGCGTATTTAGCAGTTATTTTCGTTTAATATTATTTTAACTGTTGTAGCATACCTACGGACGATAATGTGTATGTCCCCATTCACATAAATACAGTAGTAAATACTGTATGTTGGTTTGCAGTTAGAGATTCGCCTTCAGCAGTGCGGGTCAAACTCTCTGCCGTTTTATACGGGGTTTAAGGGGAATTTTAAGCCGAGCCTACGTGCTCGGATACCCCACATTAAATTCGGCCTTGTGCCACATCTGACCGCGTGTGGCGGTTGGTAGATATCCTGAAGTCGGAGATTCGTCTCAAGCTTTGCTGGTCAAACTCTCTGCCCCCGGGCAGGGAGGGTACCCAGATGAGGATATATCGAAGGGTAGAGTCTAATCTCGCGAAACAGCTACACGACCCTGTTGTGTACGGGGCTATGGGGAACGTTTTGGCCGAGCCTACGGTCTCAGATACCCTACATTAAATTCAGCCTTGTGCCACATCTTACCGTGTGGGTCGGTTCGGAGATATCTAAATTTGGAAATTCATTGCGGAATTAATTTGACTCACTTCTAGCAGTTGACTAATTCTTCTACACGCCGCTGGTGAATCTTATATGTTTTGTTCTTGTCCTAAGTATTATCGTTCATTACTAACTTTCGCTTGATTATTCTATTCAGTAACCTTCCGTGGTTACAACACTAACTCTTAACTTTCGCTACAGAATCGTTAACAAAAAGTTTACCAAATAACAGAAACATCCCTTGAAGATTTTCAAGAAAACCAGCAACTAAACTGGATAAAACATGTAACATTAGGAGTAAATATTGACATGATAAACATCTTGGCCTTCCACACCATTTCAAACAAAAGCCTAGGAAGGAAGCCACTATCCAAACTGGAAAGGGAAATGTTAGTTAATTGATTTAAGAAACATATATTTCTGAAAAATTATTTGGACATACATATTTTATATATATCAACTGAAAATAGCAATGGTTGCTCTGTCAAATCCGAACGTTTCTTTATAAGGAAACGGGTATGCAAGGAGACAGAAAATGACGATTGACATTGAATTTAAATTTTGGAACCTTTTATTTAACATGAAAGCAGGAAGCCAGCTGTGAGTTCCATAAGCGAGAAGGGCAAGAGAAGAATCTAGTCGCATAGAACTTTATTTTATAATTAGCAATTTCAATAATGAAATGAATCTTAATGACAAATTTAGTATTTTTTTATGATCTTCAATTCATAAATTCGAGAAAAGCTCATCGTTACTCTTATAAAAAGAATTATAGAAGAGGCAATGGGAAGCTACGTTACAATAGTGCGAAAAGGATTGAAGCCGAGATGCCAAATCGGGACTTAGAAATTTTTAAATTCTTGTTTGGATTTTGTCAAAAATTTTTAGATGCCAAACAGAAGAACCAAACCAGAGCTGGCAGAAATATTCGATGCAAAATACGAATGGTTGAATTATAAATATGCAAGACAGTTGCCGGTCAGAAGTATCGTCTAGATATATGAAACAAACTATTCTAGATCTAGTAATTGATTCAATATAATCAATCCACTTGGTGTTAGGGGAAAATATTAAACGAAGAAGGTGTATTGTATGTCGATGGGAGGCAAAATATGTTCATTAAAAAGGTTAATAGAGAGAAATTTAGTTGCGTAGATTGGACGCTGTGGACTCAGAAGGCAACACATCTATGAGAAAGAAAACTCTGAAATGCAAACTATAGCGAGAAAACCGGAAAGAATTCAAATATCATTTCATGAAAATTCACTGATAATAATAAAAAGAAGAACAGATATGAAGAGACATCATCACTTACGCTCTGAAGGAATATTATGTTATTAAAAAAATAATCTGTATTCACAGGAAATGAATTATTTGAAACAGTTATGATTTTCGAGTATTTTGTTGAATAAAGTAAATATTTTTATTGTCTATATAGTGAATCTTTGTTTGAGTTTCGTATGATAATAAATAGAATTTAGTTTTTTCATTTTTTTAAAATTTGCATCTCTGGTAAAAGAGTTGATTACACAAGTAATCGTTCTATTAAACGCAGCAATGTGTGATAGCTTTAAAAATGTCACCGATTCGTGTAAAACTAATGCGCTTAACAATGACAAAACCGTCCCTGAGGGCAAGACGTAGTGATTAAAAATTTGGAATCTTTGACTGGCAGCTTCGAGATTTTATCGAAGCAATGAAGTTAATGTAACATGTTATTACATCCTCAGCTTTAAGAGAAACTGATTATAAATCGAAGAATTAAGCCCAAATATTAAACTGCTATTTGATTACAAGTTAACTGCACATTATCCAGGGGCCACCTAATCAAGAAAAAAATATAGCAATTTTCAAGATGTTCTCAAAAATACAACATAATCATTTAAAAGATCTGTAGTACTGAAACAAATTGCAAAACGAAAATATTTTTTAAATATTAAAAGCAGAATAGAATTTTTCTAAGAAACTATGAATTTAAAAAAAAAATAATTCAACGTTATATTGTAATTTAACGATCCGTTATCCAGCAACGGAAATACAATCTGCAAAATCATTCCGAAAATGCCTGCGTCTTATTTTAAAAATATATATCTATACCAGTTGAAGCCCAGGGTGCACTTAAATTACGTAATGTCAGGGTACTTATAAAATAAAAATTATTTCTGGTCATCACGTTTAAATATTTCATATTTAAAGGCGACCATTGTGTTATTATAAACATTGAAATATCGGATTATATATTTATCTTTTAAAACATTCCTTTCCTTTGATTTCAAAAAGAGGTCAGATAGAATTTTATTATTATTTCTAGCTGTAGTATTTGATTCACATACTTATTAATTGTAATATATTAAAAAATGCTGTTTCTTTAATGGTATTAGGGAACCTTTTTTTGCCTTCCATCAGTATGGCTGATGCTAACCCTCAGGAGAGTAACTCATTGGGTCTTCCAGGTCTAAACTTTCCAATTGGCATGAAGAGGAACGTTGTTTTGAATCAATTGCTAGGTCTGCTGATAGGAAATTTTGTTTCTGTGTTTCGTGTTAGACGATGCTTCATTCGCCTTTTCTTTGAATATTACTGCCACATATGCTCTGGTACTTCTGCTATATATCTGGGGATTCCTGACAGAATCCAAAGAAGAATCTGTAATATCCTTTGTTTTGATATAGCGTATAGAATTCAAATATACTCCAACCATTGTAACGTAGCTTTCCTGTGCCCTTTCTATACATATTTTCATGGTAATTGTACTGATGTACTCTCCTATTTAGTACATCGATTTCACAAAATAAAGCGCATTACTAGATTGGCAGCTAGGTCTCATAATATTACTGTTGAAAATGCTAAGTGTAAGCCTTATGCTAATGGCTTCGTCTCTCACATATCTCGCTTTAGGAAAAATTTCCGGTTTTTTGCTTTCTAGTCAACTACGATCTTCGAAAATTTTAATTCAACATCAACCGCCATCTGTCTTTTTGAAAGCTGGTTTTTATGTCTTTGCCTCAAATTGCAAAACGAAAATATTTTTTAAATATTAAAAGCAGAATAGAATTTTTCTAAGAAACTATGAATTTAAAAAAAAAATAATTCAACGTTATATTGTAATTTAACGATCCGTTATCCAGCAACGGAAATACAATCTGCAAAATCATTCCGAAAATGCCTGCGTCTTATTTTAAAAATATATATCTATACCAGTTGAAGCCCAGGGTGCACTTAAATTACGTAATGTCAGGGTACTTATAAAATAAAAATTATTTCTGGTCATCACATTTATGTCAAATTTATGACTTTGCCTCAAATTCTTTCTACTTTCTTTCAACCTCTTGCTTCTACGTGTCTTTATCGTCGATCTTGGGGTGAAATTAAAGACAAATGAAGAATTTTTATCTATGTAATATGGTAATCATAATATATACTTTATAAAATAAGTTTTCTGTCGGTGTCAGCTCAGAACGTCAACAGACCATGATGCCCCGAGAATTAATCTGGAGGATAAACTCAAAGCTAGTAAACTTAGAGCTAGTAACGTGCATAAGGAAATATTCCTGTTGTTTTCATTCTGTGACTGATATAATGATTGCATCATCTGCATATCTTATATAGTTAAATTTGTGTCCGTCAATAATAAATCCTTGTAGGACTTGTAGTTCTCGCAGTATCGCTTGCTGTACATAAGTATTTATAAAACGACGTTATCCCCTCTCTCTCAAACACAAGCAAATCGCGTTCGTACAATACAACAGATCTCTGACGTTGTTTTTATTACATCTTGATGAAAGTTTTGTGTGTACCACATGCAGACTAAAATCTTTTTCAGGTATTCCAAGAGAGCGACGACATTTATTCACAAGTGTACAGGCATGTATCCTGCCCACACTTATAAATATTTATCTAGTTACTGACAAAAGCTAATTATCTACCGGGGAGTTTATTTCGTAGGAGTTTCAAGGTTGATTAAAAAAAAAAGTCAAAAAAGAAACATAAATAGAAAAACATTTTTCAATAAGAAGCGCGTCAATATCCTCGAATGACAGATTTATAGCGGCCGCACTTCCTGGAAAGTTGGGCGCCGAAGCCTTGTAAACATTTTTGTCTGCTGATTTTCATCAATTTTGCCAGGTCGATTTAATTGCCAACTCATTCATGTAGCTCAACGTTATTGAAATGCTTATAAGCATAAACGGAGAGAACGTACAAAAAGAAAGAAACAAGAATAAAATGGAGGGGAAAGTTTCTAAGAGAGAAAGAAAAACGGATATCGGTTGTGGAGGCGGAGTAAAGAGATAATGACAAGAGCGAATGACTACTACTAGTACTACTACATCATTAGTTCCATAAATATTATTATGATTTATATTCTTTTATAAAAAAAAAAAAATACCTAAAACGACAATGTGCTGAACTTGCGTGATATATCACTAGGTGAGTGAGTCATTCCAGGCGTTATCAAAGTAGTTTGAGTAGTTTTAAAATCATTGAAAAAAAATAAGGGGAAATTAGGTGTAGATTTGGAATTATCCAAAGGGCGATATTGAATACAACACAGATACAAAACAGAATACATGAAAATTTAGGAACTTTCTGTGTAAGACGACTTATTTTTATTACTTCACCCGATACAAGGCTCAAGATCCAAACATGGCGGAGGATTATTAAATGGATGTAAGAGGCAGAAGTAAGTGACGATTATAAGGATATGTAGAATGGATATGTGTTGATCCTAGACTTGACGATGTTAAGATTCTATTGTTCGGAGAAGCTTCCATGCGAGAACGTGTTCCGCAAAATATCTGTTCTCAGGAAGAAGCTTTCTGAGTTGAACATTCAAAGGAAAGATGGCGATTTAACCCTGTGGCTCTAACAACGCTAAGCTTGGCTGTAAATATCCGAGCAGTTGGTACGAAAGAATGGGTCTCGTCCGAACTTTTGCCATGGAAATGGCGATAGGGTAGCGATAGGATTGTGAACATGCGTCTCTCGGAAAGAGGCTGTAGAGCCATTACATACAAGACAATGTAAACGATTTGACACTCTTTCAAGGCTGGAAAATTATTTCTGGTTTGGACATACAATGAGCGAATAATAATAATAATAATAGTAATAATAATAATAATAATAATCGCTCTAATGCTACATCAGGCATGGCTTCTGATTTTAAATCTGTTGAGTGGTCCACCCCTTTTTACACAAATGGACTCACCCAGTATATACATATACTACGACTACGTGAAGACGAGAGCAAGACCGAGGAGTCGAGTCGAGTCGAGTCCAGAGTGACAGAGTAAAAGGCTGTAGGTAACCGGAAGAGTGAGGGTGAGGTAACAGCGTTGTAGGAGTCACAGTGAGCGAGCACGTAGACTCAGTAAGAAGTCATACAGCGATACATCATTACCAAAGACTATATATATATATATTGCTACTAACCCGTATTCCTGGAACTACTAACCTGCTTTACCAGTTTGTATTATTACGTTAATACATTATTTTCATATATTCATTCCTGGCGTTTGATATTTATTCGTACCGGATTTCAACCCGGAATCCACAACAAAATCATTAAATGTTTTAACATCTCAACATTTCGTCTTTAATTCTAAGGCAAATATATATTTCTTCCTTGCTTTTCTTTCATTCTTTCTTATATATATATATATATATATATATATATATATATATATATATATATTTCCATCCCTCAATTGTATCTCACGTATCTTTCTTCTTTTTCTTTTTTCTTATTTCCATTTACTTCTTATAGACCCTCATCCTTCATTCTTTTTCATTCTTAGATATCTTTCTTCCTTCCTTTCTTTATTATATATCTTTTTCCATCTTTTTCTTTCTTATATAACTTTCCTTCTTTTTTCTTTCCTTTTTTTCTTTTATAGTTTCCTTCATTTCCTTTTCTTCTATTTTTTTATATATATTACTGCCTTCCTTTTCTTTCCACCATTTATATCTTAATTTACTTGTCTCATCTTTCTTTCCTGTATATATATATATATATATATATATATATATATATATATATATATATATATGTGTGTATTGTGTGTTTGTTTTCTTTCTTTCCTTTAATTTATATATATATATATATATATATATATATATATATATATATATTCATTTCTTTCCTTCTGATATATAATTATTTCTTCCATTTTTCTTTGCTCCATCCTTCTTTCCTTTCTGTACCGCAGAATAGCGTTCAGTGCCACAGAGTTGCTTGACAGTTGTTTGACCTGAATACGTTGGGCATGTCCCCGATGAGCTGACACAAAGTGGATCTCTGTTCATGAGTGAATTGTGAAGGGGGTGAACATTATGTACGGATGCCGAGAAGGATATTTTTTAGTGTGAAGTTTGAGGGAGACAAAGCAATCTTGGAATAGAGATACCTGGTAACTCTCTTAATCGGACACAGCCTGTGAAGTCTCGGTCTTATTCAGTTTTAAAAGACTGCAATAATAACAGTAATTATCACGCAAATGTAGTTGTCTTGACGCCATTTTGCGTCATGATAATAGCTTTCTGCTTTTCAGGGCTTGTAGATCTAAGCAACTGGAAAGGCAGATACAGCACAATCTTTTGACCAAACATCTGTCCCTGTTTAACGCTGTCATACAAAGCGAGGTACAGACAACGTCCTTAAAAGAGCAAGAGTAAAGAGAATAGTACGTTAGGGACGGTCATGTAATTAATTTAAAATCCACAAGAGAAAATGAAAAGTTTCGACGACGAATATTTATGACTGGAGATGTAATTAGAATCAAATGAAATTTTACGAGGTTTTCATGTTCGTGAAGATATCATTATCAAAGTTATATGTTCAACCACTTATGACTCATGTAGTTGTAATGATTCTTTCAATCGACCCCTTTTCTGTAGCTATGTTACTTCTTACCTATCATCCTTTATTTATATCTTTCTTCCCTCTTCTTTCGTTCTTGCACATATTTCTTCCTTACTCAGTCTTATCCTGTATATCTTTCCTTTTCATTCTTTCGTGTACATTATTCAGCTTTATTCATTATTTTTTGTATATCTTACATCCTTTCCTTTATTTATTATGCATCTTCCTTTCTTTCAACTATCTTCCTCATAAATATTTTCTCTACATCTTTCCTTCTTTTTTGTTACCCTTTTCTTCTTTTTTCATATATATCCTCTTGAATATATATATATATATATATATATATATATATATATATATATATATATATATGTAAGCAAAGATATGGATATAGATCCGATAGTATGAAGAAAAATATACGAAAAAACAAACAAAAATCCTAATATGCAATTATGCTGTTTTAATGTTAATATAATGTCAACGTCGGACGTTTCGGTCTAGTAGACCATCTTCAGGACATAGTCATAAAACATAATTAACATTAGACTATATTTAATTCAACATGAAAAGACGCTGGAAAAGAGTAAGACTAATCAAAACAGACAACTGAAATTTTTCAAGATTAGCGTTCCGTTTCAATATGAGGCATGCATAATATCTATATCTCACTCACGCTGAATACCAGACCTGGCTTCTTTAATATTTCTCCTTTTCTAGCAAGATTAATGCTCGACAAACGTACATATAAGTTTTAGATTAAAATAATTCTTTTCATTTTTCATTCAAAATACTATATTTTAAGAATACGTTTTCACAATATCGCCGACGTGACGCCGACGTGACGACGTGATCATATATATATATATATATATATATATATATATATATATATATATATATATAGAAAACGTGAGCCCAAAAAAGGCGTAGTCTGACGCTCTCCCAGATTAGAGCCCCAATCATGTTGATGGTGGGCAAGGAAAATTCTGTCAGGAGGCGTTAAAATTTACAAATTATTTCTTGCTCCAAATAACAACTGATTGGAGGCTGCTTTTCGAGAGTAGCGGCCAGTTTAACTTTGTCAGCGCTGCTGGATTTACTATTGAAACAATTGCAAATTGTAGTGCCATCTGCCTAAATGCCTACTAGGGAACTGATGACATCAGGATCATTGATTAAGATCAGACACAGAGTAGGACCCAAGATAGAACCTTTGAGAACATCCGCATTCGTAAGAAAGGATCTAGAAGAGGGTCTGTTCAGAACGACATTTATTTCACTATTTGACAACAATGATTGGATTAAATCAAAGAATCGTCCTGCAATTCCGTAGCACTGAAGATTACGTAGAAGACTAGCATGCTAAACCCTGTCAAAAGCCTTCGAGATATTTAGAGCCACATCCCGAGCTTCGCTGTTATTATCAAGAGTATGATACACATATTCAGTTATGGTCGTAAGCACATCAGCGGGCAGAGAGCAGATGGTGAGTGGTAAGATGCTTCGGCATTGATTAAAGCCTCGGAGACTTTGCCGAAAAGCAGTAGGAGACTGATATGTGGGTAGTTATAGGTGTCAGAAATTTCTCCAGGGTTCCTAAAAACAGGGACTATAGAAGAGAACTCTCAACAAGCTGGAAAGCAGAAAACTTCGAGGTAATTGTATAGTTTGGAGAGAACTGGAGTCAACTCGTGAGCATATTTTTTTTAGGTTTACGGCTGCTATCCCGTCACCTCCACTTCCATAAGGGAGTCTAATTTAGAAATGATTTCTGAGGCCAGCGACGGTCGTTATGCATATATCATTCAGTAGAGCCTCAGTTCTAGTAGGGAATTATGGTGTGGCCATCCGGGATGAGTCGTGAGTTGAATTGGATGAGAATTTCTGAACAAATCATTCAGC